TCTGTGAGTCTGTGAGTCAGAACAGCCGGCATTGTTGTCTACTCTCCCAGTATCAGGAAACAGTCCTCCATAAAATGTTATCTGAATATTTGAATTTTTGGGTTGAACTGTTCTGGAACAGTGTTGTAAATACAACTTAACCACTGATTTCTAGTCGTGTCCTCTTTTGGAAGGCCAAACAAAGTAGTTTCGGCGGGCTTGCGGCAACCACATGTGACGACCCCGGGCTGGACTGTGCTTCGTCCACGGTGAAAGCCGATCCAGTGATCCACAGCGCGAAGTTGATGCATTTCCTCAGCGATAAGCACGGATCAGCTCCAGGCATGACGAAGCGGATATCGTCCTCTTTTGGAAGACCAAACAAAGTAGTTTCGCTTTCACAACGAAACACACAGCGTCTTCACGACATGGCGGCAGCAACAACAATACTACAGTGAGAATAAAAGTTACGCCGCCTTTCTTTGCGTGAACATTTGGGCGGCGTTATGCAAATCTTCCCACATCGTGACGTAGACATGTGGGGGCGTGTTAGAACGAGCCGTTTTAGGTAGGTGTGGCTGACTCTGAACTTTTATAAAAGAATATCTAAAGCAACGCCCTGGAAGCCACAAACAGCACGATGGCAGCGACTTTTACATGGACAACCAACAATCTTGTTTCAGAGTAATTTCATAAAGTAATCCTCTCAGTTTTATTTAAAAACTAAATCACCTTTGGAAATGGGAGGTTTTTGAAAGCTTCCAAACTGCTTTTGTGAAGTGACATGTGGCCAAGTATGGTGACCCATACTCGGAATTAGTGCTCTGCATTTACCCATCCAAAGTGCACACACACAGCAGTGAACACACACAAACCGTGAACACACACCCGGAGCAGAGGGCAGCCATTTATGCTGCGGCGCCCGGGGAGCAGTTGGGGGTTCGGTGCCTTGCTCAAGGGCACCTCAGTCGTGGTATTGAAGGTGGGAGAGAGCGCTGTACATTCAGTCCCCCCCACCTACAATCCCTGCCGGTACGAGACTCGAACCCACAACCTTTGGGTTATGAGTCCGACTCTCTAACCATTAGGTGTTTTCATTGTTAATGAAATCATGTATAACAATGAGGTGATCAATCACTGCTATTCTTCACTGTCACACTGTCAAGCTCTTTGAATAGAAGGGAGAAAAACTCTGGCAGTGGCCAGTGACCAGTGACTCCATGAGCTTCATGTTTGGACAATAGAGACACAATGGAAGTGAAATGCACAATTAGGAACTTCAGCACCACTTGCCAAGTTTACAAAAGTAGGGAGTACATATAGTAATCAAAATATTATGGCTTACTCACAGTTGAGCAAATTCAGAGTTTATGAGTAGGTTTAGAGTTGACAAAACCAAATATATCAAAACGGGTTTCGATCAGGTTCAGCAGGTTCACAACGCTCGCTATACCCATTCTCTGCCAATTCAGGGTTTGATCAAGAGGTTATTAATGACTCTGAAGCGCGTGCAGTGAAATATGGAGAGCACCAGTTTGATTTGCTTCTCATCTGAGAGATATAGTTAACTCAAACTAAAACTAAAATCATAAAAAACCTTTGTGTTACTTAAATTAAAAATAAACTTTAAACAAAACATACAGGTTCACAACGCTCGCTATACCCATTCTCTGCCAATTCAGGGTTTGATCCAGAGGTTATTAATGACTCTGAAGCGCGTGCAGTGAAATATGGAGAGCACCAGTTTGATTTGCTTCTCATCTGAGAGATATAGTTAATTCAAGCTAAAACTAAAATCATAAAAAACCTTTGTGTTACTTAAATTAAAAATAAACTTTAAACAAAACATAATAATAATAATAAACTTATGCTTAAATATTTTATTTAATTTTCACTTAGTTTAACTTCAAGTACTAAAATAACTAAGCCTAAAGCTGAAATAAAATGTATAAATATGTTAGACATATTTTAAATGCACTAATAAAAATGACAAAACATGACAAAATTACTTAACCCTTAAATAGAACTAAAATGAAACCAGAAAATATAAATATAAAAATAATACATAATAAATAATAAACCTGGAGAGAGTCAACATGATTTACTTCTCCGCTGAAGACTTAGAGATCATTTTTGAAAATATCATGAATTTAAATTGATTTACAAGAAGGGAAAAAAATAACTGCTGTCACAAAAGTTTGATAAAGCAGCTGATAGAAAATATCCGACTATATTAATACAAGTTTATTGAATATATATAAATTAAAATTATGTTCACAAAGAGTATAAAAGAAAACATATAAAAGCTTAGGGATTTCAAAAGCTTGGTCAACATTTTCATACTTCATTTTCATATTAAAAATTTTCAAATGTTCAAGTTGCTTTCAGTTAAGACATCTCAAACATGCATTTTAGTCTGGGACTAGGTTTAAGCTTAGCCTGTGAAACCGGGCATACGGATGATATATTGTATCAAAAAGATAGGTAACACTTTATTTTTTTCACATTCTATTGACTATAAGTAACTTTTCAAGTATGTGTCTGTCAACTTATTAACACTAATCCTAACCTAACAGTCTACTAATACGCAAATGAGAGTTAGCTGACATGTACTGTAGTTGCAAAGTTACTTATAATCAGTAAAATATCTAACTATTGAAATAATTGTATTTATAGGTTACATGTTAAGTATTAGCAGCAAAATTGGAGAGTTGCATCTCTAAAATGCTTTTGTGAACTGCTTTAATTTGTTGTGGCTTTATTACATCAGATATGTGTCACTTTGCTTACAGCTGATTCATCGTGTCTCTTATCCAGAATGGTAAGTTACCATTGTAATAATCACTGCTAAACACAAATCCATCTTGTTAAAACCAAAAATTTTGCTCAAACTAATTTCAAACTTAGCTTGATAGCCACTGAACCTGGATTGTGCAACTAAATGTCATAAAATGTATGGGAAAAAGTGCATGGAAACGAGCTTTTTCTACCTTATCTGACACAGTATAGTCAGGTTTACAATGTAAAATAAGGTAGAATCAGCCAGTCATTGTTGCAAAGTTAACTGATCAGCAGCCTGGTCTCAAACGGAGGTACTTTTATCATGCACATTTATGACTACTGACCAAATGAACGGATATGAAATTTTGATTTGATGGGAGACATGAAACTATCAGACATATATTGACTGGCCAAAAATACAAAAATACTTGACTGCATAATGCAGTGATTGACCACTCAGAGAGCTGTAACAAGAATGTCCTCACAAAACGTTTTTACTGTGTAAAACGGTTCTGTGAAATGTTCTCTTATGTCGAACCATATTACAGTTTGTATTTTGTCAGTCATGACTACCCACTGGCTTCTGAGTCACCCTCTGCATCCCACAATGCACCAGTGTGCTGCTCTCAGACTGTGCGCTGACTCTCAAATTGTTCCTCTTCCTGTACTTTTATCCAAGTCCTCGCTCTCTTTAATGCCAGGACACGATTATCAGTAGCGACAGCTCAGCTGTGTCTGCCCAAACCGAGCCACCCCTCTGAGTGCAGCGGCAAAGACCCTGCTGCTTCACTCTAGTCCTTGACAAGTCCAGTTCACTCTTTCATTTAGAAGTGGCAGCCTGTTTATTTTAAATGAGGTCGTTTAACTAGACCTGCATGAAATCTGTGCATGCAGTACTCCAAAAAAAGCTTTGTGCATTTTAACCAAACACATAACCCATCTATTTCCAGCTTGTTTTTCGTCATTTGTGTTGCTTGTGAAGACAAGCCTCGCTGATATTATTGGATATTTTCAAGTCTTGGCGGATCCATTCCAGCACCACAACAGATGCAATTAAGCTTACATTGAAGGAAGGGTTTAATACTCTGAAGTGACTTTTGTCAGCTTATACAGTCGCAACTGCCTATCAACGACTCAACGATGCATAGGTGTGCTCGGAAATCCAGTGTGAACACCTTAAATTAGACAGATTGTCTTTAATACATTTAATCAGATTTAAAGACTTTTTCAGAGGTTTGGGCCTTATTTTTATTGTGCTCTGCTCCTTATCTAGACATTTAGTATCAGATCCTGGCCATGATTCTGTGATGTCACATGCAACCGAGATAATGGTGTTGTTATGGATGCCAACTCTTTCCTTGCCTGATTTTGTTGACATCTGAAGAGAAAGCCCTCGCTGCTGTTCTTCATCTTGTCGTTTTGAACTCAGGAGGAGCTGGGTCTGATGTCGGCTGCTGAATTTCTCTGAGTGTCTGGTGAATGAGGACAAGCGCTGAGGAGCGTGGGATGTGTCGGGAGGGCACGGCACGGGGATATGTATAATCATGCAGATGAAAGAGATTGAGCTGCAGTCATCGAGCCACATTTATCTTGTTGGTGGAAGTGCTGCTTCGGCTTAAATTATAATGCAACACTATTTAGGTACAGGATATACAGTGTTACTGTAGTCTATCATCTTTACCTCAATACATTTTACATTGAATTATTGCATATTATATGGCATACAGGCTTAATAGAAAGTGTTGCTTCATTACTCACATTAGGGAAATTGCAGCGTAGTATCACTCCAACACAATCAATATAATATACGACTGACACAATGCGCACATAGCTGTCATTTTTTAGCATGATTCGACTGACTTACACCTTCATTAGTCTGGATGAGTCTGGAGTTATGAGCAGTCGTTGATGTCTATTGGAGAGCTGATCGTTTACTCCTCCTCCTCCTCCTCATGCTGTCGACTGTGTGGGTGTCTGACAGCTCCGCGAGTCTCAACCCGGAGCGCTTCAACACTCACCGCTCTCCGCTCAAATGCGCGTTTCTTCCTGCGTACCTACGTTCCTCGCTCCTCATGTCCTCCGTAACTCTCTCAGGATCGTTTCGGTGCTGATGTGAGTCCAGTACTTTCATTCATTTGGCACGTTTCTTCAGTCGATGAGTATGCGTTCACGGTGGAGTTGCATCGCCTGGATTTGCGTCTTCAGTCTCGGCGCGTTCAGGACTTCCTGCATTCCCGGTAATGAAGGTAAGACGCGGGATCTGGGAACGGTGCTGTTTGCAGGGATCGATGGTTGACAGTCACTGGATTCCGCCTGGAAATGAACGCTCTTCAGATCAAGAACCGTTTTTGGCTCCATGAGGTTCTTGGCTTGCTATATGATTGTTTGGAGACCAAAACAAAAGTGCTTAATGTTAAATTAAAGATACCTTTGTGTTTTTAAAATGACCAGAAAATAATTTTAAGAAGTTGTTAGTAGAACTTAAAAAAGGTTCTAAAATGGCATTAGACTGTGAAACTGTTTGGTTTTAAATAGAACCATTATCAATAAAAATGAGAGCGGGATGGGGGAGGGCGCTCGGGTGCCTACACAGACTGGCACAATGGCCCAGCAGACGCGCAAGACAACGGCCACTCTAAACTCACAATAGCGGCAAGTCTGCTAGAATTTCAACAAACCTGTCGATTCGGAGAGCTGCGACCTGCCGTGAACTGTAATCTGTAATGCACTTTCAAATGAACATTAACAATATTTGCAGCTACAGTACGATTGGACTGTTTAACCTTGAGTATTCCAAAGCGGAAAGGCAACAAATCAGAATATGTACGTTAAATATTCTGCAACATACTACTCTTCCATACACTATATAAACCATACGGTTTATAATGTATTTTTCCCCTCCTGAAGTTAGATTTCCACATATTGCACCTCTTTCGACATTTGTATCTGCCTAAGGATGGACATAGCCTCTCTTTTATCTAGTTCAGAACTGTATTTCGTCCTGCTAATTATTTTTTATGCCATTCTCCCCAGGATATTTTTCAGTTTAAGTAGGACAATGTACATCAATGTCTGTCATTCATAAGAAACACATTTAGATCTCATTTAGAGACATTTAAATAGGACACGCGTGGATTAAATGTAAATGTTAAATTGTAAATTTTAGTGTTCTCACAAATCATTATCACATTTGAGGTTACATAATATTTAAGATCAATAACCATTATTCGTATTCAGCTGTTGGTCTTATTTATTAGGGTATAAAGTGCAAAAATTATCCTAAATATGTACTTTGAATTCCAGAATATCTATCATTCCCTTTACACCTTCTCTTTTTTAGCACCATTGTGACATTTGTATTGGCGTCTTAGTCATTAGCTTGTTGTTTTGATTCCCTGAATGATATTGCTATTGTGAGTCATCTCACACATGCTAAACAGTCTCGCCACACAACCTTTGATCAACACAAGGTCAAATTAAAATGCAGCCCTGATTGGACTTTGAATGTAAAGGTCATCTAATTAGCTATGGCGGTACTCCTTCGTAAAAGGTTCCACCAGATAAAAAACAAACTGTGACCTACTCTGGGCATCAAATACTGGCACAATCATCTAGAAAGACTGGCTTGTTTAGTAGACATCTCACATAGAATGTGCACTCAATTTAACCAAGGGCAAAGATTATACAACAGTTATTATTCCATGTTCTTTTATATTTTCTATAGGGTATTTTCAAATGATTGTCCGCAATGTTCTGAAACATTTAGTTCAATATTGCAACAAGCCCATGTATGAATGTTCCAGCATTCAGATGTGAAGTGTCTGGATACATACTATTTCTGGATACATATACTTCTGTCTGGGATTGATTTCAAGGGCAATTTATTTTCCCCCTAAATCATAAGACATAATATTTTATTTTATTTTATTTTATTTTATTTTTTTAATCAATTTAACCAAGGGCAAAGATTATACAACAGTTATTATTCCATGTTCTTTTATATTTTCTATAGGGTATTTTCAAATGATTGTCCGCAATGTTCTGAAACATTTAGTTCAATATTGCAACAAGCCCATGTATGAATGTTCCAGCATTCAGATGTGAAGTGTCTGGATACATACTATTTCTGGATACATATACTTCTGTCTGGGATTGATTTTCAAGGGCAATTTATTTTCCCCCTAAATCATAAGACATAATATTTTATTTTATTTTATTTTATTTTATTTTTTTAATTTAATTTAATTTAATTTAATTTAATTTATAATTGCATTTTTGACCCAAGTCTTTATTAAATTTGGACCTGTTACAATATAACGTAATTGGCATCATCTAAAACATTTTACAGGCATGCATCTTTTCTTTAAGGGTCATAGATTATTGCATTCATGTAATTCATATAGTCATATATTTGTATGAAAACAAATAGACTGAAACTATATTGTTATTAAGGTGTGAAAATAAAAATGGATTAAAAAACTATATGATTATGTGTACATGCTGTACATCTAAAAAAATCTAATGCAGTCACCCTGAACTATAGTTTACACTGTGATAAAATACAATTCATGTGATAATAATTAGAATGTAAGAAAATAAAAAAATGAAGAATGTGTGTACAGTGTATGTACAGAAATTCAATTTGCACTTTATTTGAAGTTGTCATTGTTACAATGTTATTACATTGTAACTACTATGTTATATTAGTTAACAACATGTACTTACTATATAGTTAGAGTTTGGTTTAGGGATAGTTGTAGTAATTATGTATTACTACAGTAGGTGCCTGTAACGACAGCACTGTAAAATAAATTGCTACCGAAATCTATAAAAACGAACAAGATCTGAGCAAGACGATGTTGTAATAAAGAATATCTAATCTGCATATAAATGTTCTTTCTATATTGCTTTTACAACTCCAGCTCATTGATTTGTCCCCATTTCTCGTTCTCCCGCAGTGAACTTGCTGGACTCTCGCTCTGTAATTGGTGACCTGGGGTGGGTCGCGTACCCGAAGAATGGGGTGAGTTCTACACATCTTCCTGTCTCTCAGCACTTTGAGCCGGCTTAGGAGAACATCTCAAGGTCTCCGATTCCCTCAACGGCAGAAAAGACAGTTTCAAAGTGAAAAATAATAGAACATGGAGAGCGCAGCACAGAGAGAGAGAGGGACTATGAGAGGTCAGAGACAAAGAGAGAAGAAGGGAAAGCCCTTTTTGTTCTAAAAGAGGCACAAAGACACACTAAACCTGCTGTTTTAATTTCTTTGTGACACTTAGAGTGTGATTCATTTCTGTTGAGCCAGCCGATTGGTAAACCCGCTGAACAATGTGTTGAATTTTAACGACAATTGGCCAACTTTATATACATATCTGTTTTTGCATTCCCTATTTCCATTGAGAATGCCAAGTGAAGAAAGCTGAAGCTACATGAAATGGTTTGTCAGCAGAAAAGGAACATGTGTTGAGTATCTCGGTTGTTTTTGACAGGCTGACAGGAATAAGCAGCTACAAACTCGAACAGAACATGAAAATAAATATCCCAGGATTGCTTCAGGTCTGTTAGTATCACAATATTTTTATCCCCCCCCCCCCCCCAAATAAATAAATACTAATAATAAAAAACAAGCAACGCCATCTTGTTAACTTCTTATCATGACTTCACCCAGTTTGCTGTTACAAGAATAGTGCACCGACTAGGGCTGTGCAATATTAACACAAATGCAGTTTTCAATGTTTATTGGGATTTTTTCAATAATTAAACAATATTGTGCTGAGTTTGTTTTTGTGCTGGTACCATGGCTGGTCTCTATGGAAGCCCATTTTCACCACTGAAAAAAAAAATAACTAAAAAAAAACCTTACTGTGACTTTTCTCAGAATTGTGAGATATGAACTCGCAATTGCTAGCTATTCAGAATAGCAGGAAATAAAGTCAAAATTGCAAGACGTGGAGTCAAAATTGGGAGATATATAGCGAGTTATAATGTCCAATTCTGAGGGGGAAAAAAGTCTGTTTTCTTACCATTTCGAGTTTATATCTCACATTTCCGACTTTATAACACACAATTGTAATTGTGAGAAAAAGTCACAATTGCAAGATCTGACTATATTTTTCAGAATTATGACTTTATTTCTCAGAACTGCAAGTTTAAATCTCATAATTGTGAGGACAATATTTGAATTATTAGATAAAAAGTCGCAAATACCTTTTTTATTCATTTAATTTTCTTTTTATTCTGTGTCGGAAGTGGGCTTCCATAGGTTTAGGCCTGTCATGGACAAATAAAAAAATACGCCAGTAGGTGGCGCCAAGTCCCTGTCTTAATGAGTGATTCATTGGATCATTCATACAAGCAATTCGTTCAAAAACAGATTTATTCACAATCGAAATATCACTATGTGTTGCTCTGAGACATGCAAATGTTCTGCTCTGGGTTTGTTAGGAACTATTTTCATCAGCAAAACAGAAAAAAAAACAGACAATATTGTGTCTAAAATGTAACTTACGCAACATTAACTTTGTGTTTGATGAACTGTTGCATAAAGATATGACATTTGCGATCACACCCACATGCTAATATTTAGGAAAACAGAACTGTTTCTTGTTTGATATTACTTAACTACATAAATACAAAAATACAAACATTTACAAGGATATTTTTTGCTTTCATAACTTGAATTATCGAGGCATTTTAACTGCATCCTCAAGGCTTCTTCACGCAGTCAATGATTTTGGATTCTCAAGACATGTTTTTGTCTGTTTTGTTTTTCAAAGTGAGTGAGAAATATACTCGATAATGTCAGCTCGCATATCAACACAACCATTATGATATTATTGCAGACGGTAACTATTGCACTGACCCAGCTCTCACTTCTAGTTTTGGATTTTGAGATATTGATTAGAAAAGTGTGTTTGCTTTAGGACTGTGCAAACATTGTGATTTCTCCATTCTCAATGTCAGCTTGCTCATCCCAGCTGCTGTTTAGAGGCCTTTATTATTATCTAGTGTGGCCTGCATCCAGTGTTGACAGTGTGCAGTTATAGCTTAATTCAGTTTCCTGTTGTGATGGTAAAAAAGAGCGCTTGCATTGTGCTTACTTGCACCTGCCCTCCAATGCAACAATACGAGCCGACAATAGATGCTAAAGTCTCCAGGCACGCTGGATAACACCTGTTAAAGGAGATGATTATTCCTCCTCTCAGATGGAAATACAAACATCCTTGTGTGATATCCTGAATATGACGTGGAATCTGGAGAGCGATAAATCACTGTCAGATACGGCAGAGTGCTTTTCACATCCTCCTCAATGGCTATTTAGATTAAATGATTTTTCTCTATTATTAGATGTTCAAATTACTCAAGGGTGACATGTGCCGTCTGAGATTATGTCAGCAAGCATGGGATGTTAACTAGTATTGCTATTATGCAAGATGTGTCGAGGTTTGATCAAAGGGCTGAATGAATCGGTTGAGCTGTTAATATGTTGATTTTTCATAGACTTTTCAAGTCATGATGTAAAGAAGTCATTCAATATCAGATACAAATTACATACTAATATTAATCATAATTTTAATATTATAAATAAGGTTAATCATAACATAAATAGTAGTATTTGATATTAATATATTGCTGATTTTTTGTCCTATCCGTTTATTTGAAATATATTAAAAATATAGAATGTTTCAAAGGAGCTTCACGTAGATACATATGAAAGTAGTGATTCAATAATGCAAACACAATTCAACGCTGCTGTAAAAAGATAATAATAAACAGTCATTATTCACTTGGAATCAGTTCAGTAAAAGTTTTTTTTGGGG